TGTGTATGGTGCATGGTGTGTGTAGCGTGTGGCATGCAGAGTGTGTGTGTGTGTGTGTGTGTATGGTGTATGGTGTGTGTAGTGCATGGCATGCGGAGTGTATGTGCATGTTGTGTGTGGTGTGTGCGGTGCGTGGTGGTTAGAGTGTGTGAGTGTGGTGTGTGTGGTACATGGCATGCAGCGTGTGTGTGTGAGGGTGGCAGGGGGCTGGCAGGGAGTGGCTAGAGCTCTGTGGCTGGCACAGTGGGGCAGAGCTGTGGGTCGGTGTGAGAAAGCTGATTTCCACAGTCGATTTCAGACGCATCCCTGTCCCCCTCTGACGTCCCTGCAGCTGGCCCAGCCTGAGAGGTCCCGAGCAGAGCCAGTTTTGGGAAAAGTAACGTATTTTGAGTGAAATCACGCCAAATGCCTCGCAAGCTCAGAAAGGCAGGGAGGCACGCTTTGGAAGCCTCCTCCCCTGGTGGTGACAAATGCCCTGTGGTGGCGCAGACCCCGGGAGGGCGGGGTCTCCTGGACCCCAGACAGGCAGAGCCCCGGCCAGCGGGGAGGGGAGAGGAGGCGTCCCGGGGTCTCCGGAAGGAAGGCCGCTGGCGTGCTCAGCCCCCAGCGCATTCCTGTGGTTCGGTGGGCGGGAACGGGCGGGTCACTGTCTGCTGCGGAGGCTGGGCCACCTGTCTCCACGGGCTCGCCCTGCGTCAGTCCTGGCTGGTGGCATCTGTCTACCCTCTCCAACAATACCGGCCTCGTCTCGCCCTCCCTGAGCCTGGCTGTGTCCAGAGCTGCCTTGGGAGCCTCTGTGGCGTTGTGAGGACGGGGCGAGCACGTGGCCGCCCCGCAGAGCGCCTCATGTGTATGGCAGCCTCCTGTGAAGTCACGCCTGCCCTTCTTGGCAGGCAGCTGGCCGTTTGTCCCAAGTCCCTTTCTGGGTCCTTTTCAAGGAAGGGCCTTCTGTCCTGCCCACTCCTCCGGCTGGAGCTAAAAATATGAGGGTCATCCAGGGGCCCACCCTCCCCTCTCAGAGGCCCTTGTCTTCCAGCCCAGAAGCCACTGAATTCTTTTGATCGTGTACAAAATGTTGGCACACCCCAGCAATTTATGTTTTTTCTTTAAATAATGTATATGTTGTATTCTCGTTAACGAGTATCTCAAGGCGCAGTGTACGCTGACGGTGATGTTCATTGTTGTGACAGCAGACGTAAATCCACCCCATAAAACACTGAACCCAATAACCTCAAAGCTGACTGCCAGTAATGGCTCTCGGATTCTAGTCTGAGTCTGAGTGATGATGGGCGTCATCCCCTCCTGTGAGGTCCGTGCTCCGCCCAGCCTGGGAGCACAGAGGCGTTGGAACTGGGGCCCCAGCTGGCTCTCTTCTGGCCTCTGGTCCCGGCCCAAGGAGCCAAGGGTGTCAGGAGAGGGAGCTGGGGCTGCTCAGAGGCTCCTGGGAAGGCCACACTGCCTTTCTATCCCCTGTTCCAGGCTGCCCCTGTCCCAGGCGATTTTTCACACTTCTGACACTGCCAGGGGCTGATCTGAGGCTGGGGGCTGTTCCAGCAGCTGAAGGAGAACTCTGGGACTTGGGAAGTGTCTCCCTCAGGCTCAGCATCTCCGTGACTAGAGATGGCCCTGCTGAGGTGGCCGAGGGCACCTCTCCACACCAGCGAGCCATTTGACGGCAGGCACCAGGCCAGGGGCGAGCAGCAGGGGGACACTGGTGAGGCGTGACTGGGCCTTCCCAGCCGCACGGAGGATGGCCTGCAGGCCAGACCCCGGAGCTGTGACCGTCCCCTGTGCCTAGCACTTACTTACGATGGTGCCCGGTGGGTTGTCTTCACACACCTGCAGCCTGCCCTGGATTCCAGGATGGACCCTGACTCCTCAGGCCACTTGGCCTTTTTTCCTCCTTTGGTGTCTTTGTTTTTATTGCGGTAAAATACACATAACATAAAATTTATCGTTTTAACCTTTTCTGAGTGTACAGTTGAGTGGCATGAAGTCCATTCACATTGTTGTGACCGTCACCATTGTCCATCTCCGGAATTTTTCCATCTTCCCAAACTGAAACTCCGTCCTCTGTCCCCATTAAACACTAACCCCCCCATCCCCTCCTACAGCCCCTGGCAGCCACCGTTCTACTTCCTGTCTCTGCGAGTCTGACTCCTCTGGGGCCCTCATACAAGTGGGATCATACAGTGTTTGTCCTTTCGTGACTGGCTTATCTCACTCAGCATAATGTCCCCCAGGGTCATCCATGTTGTAGCAGGTGTCAGAGTTTCCTTTCTTTTTAAGGCTGAATAATATTCCATTGTATGTTACTATAGACTGAATATTTGTGTCTCCCCCAAAATTCTATGTTGAAATCCTACCCCTCAGTGTGATAGTATTTGGGGTTGATTAGGTCATGAGGATGGAGCCCGCATGGTGGGATTAGTGCCCTTGTAAAAGGGACCCCAGGGAGCTCCCTTGCCCCTTCCCCCACGTAGGGACACAGCAAGAAGAGGTCATCTGTGACCCAGGAAGAGGACTCTCGCCAGACACCGAAACTGCTGGCATCTTGATCTTGGACTTCCAGCCTCCAGAACTGTGAGAAGTAAATTTCTGTTGTTTGTGAACCACCCAGTCTGTGGTATTTTTGCTACAGCAGCCTGAACTGACTGAGACATGTGTATATACTACATTTTGTTTATCCATTCATTCATGGAATCTTCCAGAATAACATTTGATCAAATATCTGGGCTCTGTGGCCTGGCCAAGTGAACACAGAATTAACCATCAGTAGTTTTCAATGCACAAGGGTTTTGCCTCATTGATTAAGTTTATTCCTAAGTGTTTTAATTTTTGATGCTATCGTACATGGAATTGTGTTCTTAATTTTCTTTCCAGATGGATCGTTGTTAGTGTACAGAAACACAACTGATTTCTGCGTGTTGATTTTGTATCCTGCGACATTGTTGAAGTCATTTGTTACTTCTAACAGCTGCTTTTTTTTTTTTGGCGTGTGTGTGTGTGGAATATTCGGGTCTCCTCCGTGTAAGATCGCATCCTCTGTGAACAGGGTCATCTGGCTGCTGCTTTTCCGACCCGAATGTCTTCCGTTTCTCTTTCTTGCCTGATTGCTCTGGCTGGGATGTCCAGCACTACGCTGAACAGCAGTGGGGAGGGTGGGCATCCTCGTCTGGTTCCTGGTCTTTGAGGCAAAGCGCTCGTCTCTCACTGATGAACATGATGTTTGGTGTGGACTTGACCTTTTGGCCATCAAAGTTCTGTTGGCAACATTACTGCTGCTTGACGTTGAAGGATGGCTCAGTTCACGGGACCTGGGCGGGAGGCCCGAGCAGCTCGCGGTCTTCCTCCATTGTCTGTGCACAGTGAGTCCTCCTGACCGAGACCAGAGGCTCCCGCCAGAGGTCTGGTCAACGGCTCAGGCCGAGGGCCTTGCCCCTGGGCAGCTGGAGCAGGATGGTCTCCGATGTGCCCCAAGCTCCTCGGAGCAGCCAGGCAGGTGGGAGTGGCCCTGCGTCCACCTGCGTTGCCCGTCTTCCAGGTGCTTTCTTCCCAGACGAGTCTCTGCGACGGCCTAGGGCCACAGTTCCTTCCGCTGGGAGCACTGCCAGCTACGGCCGCATCTTCGGGGGTGGTGGGACCATGCTACCTGCCCACAGCGGGGCCCTGGCGGACCAGCGGCCCCTGCCTCGACCACGGCTGCTTCCCACCCTTTCATAGTGGTGGTGAGAACGTAAGCTGGGCTTTGCTCTGATACCCATTAGTCTGATTAGCTGGAAATGCCCCAGTATGCCTCTGTTTTGTGCTGTACAGCTGAAGTTATACATATATATTTTTATCTTTTTCGTGAGGAAGATTGGCCCTGAGCTAACATTGTTGACAGTCTTCCTCTTTTTGCTTGAGGAAGATTGTCGCCAAGCTAACATCTGTGCCAGTCTTCCTCTGTTTTGTATGTGGGATGTGGCCACAACATGGCTTGATGAGCCTTGTGTAGGTCTGTGCCCGGGATCTGAACCCACGAACCTGGGCCACTGAAGCAGAGGACGTGAACCTAACCACTATGCTACTGGGCTGGCCCCTGAAGGTATATTTTAAATGAAAATTCTGTGATTCCAAGTCAGAAAGGCCAGCGTAGGGTGGACAGGGCACAGCCAGGAAGCTTTCCCCCGCCTCACGGCCTACCTGCTATCCCCCTGCAGCCCTAGAACGACTCTCAGGCAACGTTCCTAGCAGTGGGGGCGCCAGGCCAGCGCCAGGCGGCCACCACACACAGACCTGCCCACCGCTCAGCCGTGGCCCCACAGGATGGGAGGAGGAGCCTCAGGCCCTGGGTGGGGGCGACAGCAGGGTTGGGGCGCAGGGACAAGGGGACCAGAAGCACCGTGGGGACTATTGGGGAAACTACTGTGTCAGTATTTCTTCACCCACATTCAACCTTCGTGGAGTTGGGGCGCCTGTCAGGGGAGCCAGTAGGACACTGCCAGGGCTTGGGCTGGGGTCAGAACGAGGGCAGCACCCTAGTGCTAGCCCTTCTCTGTGAGCACTTCTGAGGCGCCTGGCCTCCCTCAGGTCCCCCATCACCCTCTGACTGGCCCAGGAGAACAGTGTCATGTCGGGGTCACCCTCTGATTGGCCCAGGAGGTCAGCGTCATGTAGGGGATGGTGGCCTTGGGAAGGGAGCATGCAGGAGGGGGTCCCCGCGGCCTGGCCCTGGGGCCCCATCTTCCCGCACACACATGGCTCCTTGACCCTCTGGGTGAGAATGCCCCCCTGGAAGCCCTGGCCAGGCACGGAGGGGCTCTGGCCGGCCCTGCCCACGGGGTTGGCAGCCTGGCGGGGCAGCTGCTCTCAAACCCCAAACCCCACGTCAGCACCAAGCACCTGTCATCCGGGGTTGGGAGACACGTCGAGTCCCCAGCTGTTACCGCCCCGCTCCCCACAGCCCCGTGGGTGGAGCCCGGACCCCCGGTGCGGCTGGAGCTGCCTCAGCGCCTGGGGCCACCCCAGGCCGGACTGTCCTGATAGGCAGCGTGCAAGGGCCCGTGGCTCCCGCTGGGGTGGGGATGGCGGGTAACAGCTGGGGGGCTACCTGTTGTGTGTGTGAGTTCGAGTGTGTGCATATGTGTGTGATGGTGTTCACACATGTGTCCGTGTGTGGATGTCAGTGTGGTGCAAGCATTTACACATGTGAGGGGTGAGCGTGCACTCACACATGTGCACACGTGCGTGGGACTGGCTGGCGCAGGGCTTCCTGGGGAGAGAGGCCAGGAGGGCCCTGCTACCCCGGCTGACACCACTCCCGGCAGGTCCCCAGTCCAGGAGGCAGGTGAGGGCTAGAGTTGCAGCAATAAATGGTGTTGTCAAAGATGTTTCTGGATTTCCGTAGCCGAATCCCAACCGAAGACCTGGGCGGCAGCTGTGGAGTGTTCTAGAATGTCAGTGCTGTGGAAGGCCGCTCAGGATGGGGGTCTGCACGTCCTGCAGAGAGAATGCTGGTCTCGGACCATCCCGGGGCTGCCCTGCCCTGCTGCTGGGCCCAGATCAGCCTTTCCGGGGGGCCCCACTCTCTGTCCCGGCAGGGGGCCTGGGAGAGCCCAGGACGGAAATGCTGACGTCACCCCAGGGCTTAACACAAGAAGCTGTGAACCAGGAGCAAATCCACATTCCTGACCTTCCCCCAACCTTGGTCCCCTGTCGCTGAGGTCCCCGAGAAGCACACGTGGACCATGAAGGCAGCCGTCACCAGAGGTGGGTGTGGAGGGCGTGCAAAGTGGCTGGCGGCCGGCAGGACGTGTGGCTGTGGGCTGTCCCCTGAGCTGCTGGTGGGTCCCAGCCTTCTGCGTCAGCATCAGTGGGGCCGGTAACTACCCTCATCTCCTGGACCACTGGGAGACTAAATGTGAGCTTTTCGTGCCCAGAAGCTCCGTCTGCCAAGGTGAAGTGGCTCCCTGGGGCCAGTTTTGTCCCCATGGAACCCCTCAAGCCTCCACCCCAGGGGGGGCGCAGGGACTGGGGCCTCTTCACAAGTGTGAGGTGCTTCCTGGACTCAGCTCTCTACGCCGCAGACACCAGACATGGGGGTTTTCCCACACGGAGCATTTCTCCACTTCTCTGCAGACACGGTTGGGTGTCCTACAAGTCAGTTCAGGTCTGACACTGACTCCCAGAGTCAGCACAGAGCCTGCAGGCAAAGGGCTCGGCCCCACAAGACTGCCCCGCTTCAGACGCCAGCCACAAGGCGCGGGTCCCCCGCTCACCCACACTTCTGCCCGACTTGGCTACAGATCAGAGGTCCCTGCGTCCCCCTCCTGCAGTACGATAATTTGCTAGAGCAGCTCACAGAGCTCACTTGGCCTCTCACTGGGCGCCGACCTTGCACGTCCCTGCTGGACTGTCCCCAGGCATGGGCACCCTGGGTGTCCTCCGCTGGCCACCTTCTGTCTACATTCGCCCACCAGGACCTCTGGCTCCCCAGACATTCCATTCAAGGGTAAATACTTGATTCTGTCTCTTGATTTCTCAGTTTTAGAATACTGAATTCTTCCCCAGCTTCCTCCACAGGTGAAGAGTTAATTAATTAACTAGAAGGTAAATAGACAGGTTAACGAGCAATGACCCGGGCAGTGAGGCAGAAAAGGAAACTGAAGGAGGGGAATGTGCAGGGCCCGTGAGCTGCTGAAGGGACCCAGGACAGGAACCTCCCCAAGGAAGGGACATCAGAGTGAAGGGACCCAGGACAGGAACCTCCCCAAGGAAGAGACGTCAGAGTGAAGGGACGCAAGACGGGAACCTTCCCAAGGAAGAGATGTCAGAATGTGCCTGGATCAAGTTAGGACGTGAACCCCGTGGGAATCTGGGGAATGCCTCTCAGACAAGGAAGTGTGTCATGCAAAGGTCCTGAGGCAGTGTGCTCCCGGCTCAGCAATAAAGGAAGGTGGCTGGAGAGAAGATGCTTTGAGTCAGCAGCCCCAGGTTCTTCTGCAGAGCTCATACCCTCGCAGGCCAGAGTCAGTTCAATTAGACAACACCATGACATTGTGCTTTGGGTGTGTGGCAAAACCACTGGAATGTTCTGAGCAGGCCCTGCTCTGCCTTTCATCATCAAAAGATAACTCAGAGCTTCCAGGTGAGCCAGGGGAGGAGGCCAGAAGGACCATGTGGTGATGGATGAGATCAGAAATAGGAGCATGAACTCATGTTTGACTTAAAAAGATACAGATGTGACACAGAGATATGTTTATAGATATGCGTATATACATGGTCGTATGCACACACATATTTTCTCTATGAGCTGAGCGGGTCTCGACGCAGCGACACCCAGTCTCCCTGAGCGCAGCCAGCACTGGATCATGGCCTCTCACACCATCTCCAATGAAAGGAGCCAGACGCGGACGAGGGCAGGAAATAAAGGAGAGCTTGGGGCATTGGTGGTGCCAGAAAGCAGGAAAGAGCTAAAACCCCCACTTCCATCAAAGTATCGCTATCAGCTCATTAGCCGTTAAAAATGACCCACGGTGATGAAAGTGTAAATAATGGGGCAAACTGGGGGCAGGAAGATGGGAACTCTCTGTGTGTCTTCACAGTTTTCCCGTAAATCGAAAATTGTTCTAAGTTTAAAAGTTTGTTAAAAACAAGAGGTAGCTTTGGCCGCTTGGGGGCTGGGGTGGAAGCAGGGGAGGTGTGTGTTCGGACTCATGCAGGCTCGAAGCAAAGGGTCGAGGTGAAGAGGGGAGGCCGGAGGGGCACAGGCGTAGAGGGAGAAGGAGTCAAGAGCCAGCTGGGCCTGTGACGTGTGGGACGCCCCTTAGACTCCTGAGTAGGGGACGGGCATCATGGACTGCAGACCGGGGGGGCTCGGCCGGGGACAGAAACCTGGGGTTTTTTGGCGGATGGACTAGTCAACAGGTGGGTTATTCATCCCCTAATCCCATTGGCTGAGAAGGTACAGTCTCCTCCTTTGGGGTCACGTAGGACTTTGGCAACCCCAGGAAAGTACCAGCCAATGTCACCTAAACTCCAGGAGGACTTCCAAACAGTCAGAGCTATAAGCTAGGAGGGTTTAAAGACAAGCATAGAAATAAATAGAAAACAAAAATGGACACCGATGTTTAGAACCCGTTTTAGCGCAACTGTAGCCGTAGTTTGGGGGATAATTACACTTGTGTGTGTTTCGTCTGCCAGGAAAGACGTTTAAAGTGTTTGGAGGAATCGTTCACGCTGCGGCAGTAACTGCAGGCTCGATGGTTTGAGGGAATTGACTGCAGCTTTTAATCAAGCCTTCAACGGCCAAGACACTGCGTTTCTAAGTTCCCTGTGTTCTTCTGTTAAGTTTGATACGTAAACATTAAGAAGATGAAAGGATGCCATTTAGAGTCCCTGCTTTCCATGTCTCCGTGGCACTCTCGGGACCGGTCATCACCTTATTCATCCTCCTGGGTGTTCAGGGTCATCTGCCCCTTGGGTGGGTGCACCAGATGGGCGCTTGTCTTGTTCTCTGTTGGAGAGAGGGATGGGTGAGGGGGCGGTGGGCTGGGAGGCAGCGGCCAGGACTTGAGAAGGGGAGAGGATGGGGACAGACTTGTCCTGGGAGCTCCCACCACCTGGGAAGTGGGCAGGAGAGAGGCAGAGGGCACTTGGGGGCCATGGGCGTCTTAAGGAGCGTGCAGGATGCTGCCCACCGGGTGACCGCTCCTCCCGCAGATATGCCTGGGAAGCAGATGCCAGCTACAGGTGCCAGTGTCTTGCCGCCTCCCTGCACAAACAGAGAACCCTGGGGGCTCCGACCCAGAATGTTCCCACAGCAGCCGGGAACACCGGGTGTGGCTCCTCGCCCCACTGCCTTTTGTGTTGTTTATTTGTTTAAGTTCTTCTTGTTTGAGTTACAGAAAGGAAATTGAGGAAGGCGTGCGCTGTGGCTGTGTGGCTGCATCCTAGGAAACCACGGGGGGCGGACAAGCTGGGCAGCGACTTTTGAGCATCGAGGAGGGAGCGGGCCCGGGACTGCCAGCTGCCCCAGCGAGCGGCGGTCGCCCACTGGCTGCCCTGCCATCTGAATTCCTTTTGGTGTATCACTGACTTTTATTTGAAAAACAACTTTATTGAGGTAGAATTTATATACCATAAACCTTACTTGTTTTAAGTGTATAATTGGTAGTTTTCAGTAAATTTACCAAGTCGTGCAACCATCACCATCACCCACTTCTGGAACAGTCTCATCACCTCAGAAAGATCCCTTGTGCCTCTTTACCGTTAGTCCCCGTTACCACCCCAACCCCTGGCAGCCGAGAATCTGCCTTCTGTCTCTATGGATTTGCCTATTCTGGAAATTTCATGTAAGTGGAACCACATGACTCATGGTCGTTTGTGTCTGGCTTCTTTCACTCAGCACAATGTTCCTGACGTCCACCCATGTTGTGGGGGGTCAGCATTTGCTCCGTTTTCTGGTTGAGCGATATATTCTGTTGTATGGATGGACCAGACTTCGTGCATCCTCTCACCTGTTGACGGACAGGTGGGTCGTTTCTACTTTCTGTCCATTAGGAATCAAGCTGCGAACATTTATGAACATCTGTGTGCAGGTCTCTAGGTGGACGTGAGTTTTCATTGCTCCTGAGTCTAGGACTGTTATTAAACTATATTTCCGGAGGAGATTAGATACATCCAGGAGGCAGAATTCAAAAGGGGCAGAAGGAACAGGAGGCAGAGTGAGAAGTGAATCTCCTCCCTGGTCAACCCCGGGGCCGTCATTGTCCCCGATTCCTGTGCTCCCTCTCCGAGGGGCTTTCCACACCTGTCACTCGATTTTATATAAAAGAGACGTGTCTTAGTTTGGGGTCCCCCAGAAGCAGAGCTGGAGACAGGGACTTCGATGCAGGGGGATAACTTGGAGGGGACCCCAGGAGGTGACCGCAGGAGAGGATGAGAGGGAGGGCGAGGTGGGGTTCCCACTGGGCATCTGGGCTGGTCCTGCCCAGGATCGGCCTCCAGAGGACGAAGAACAGGAGGCTGGGACATTTATCTGAGAATTCCAACCCTGAGCCGAGGGCTGGCCTGGGAAGTGCCAACGTCCCTATGCACGGGTGGGAGTTGTATTTGGAACGTGTGCCTACATAGTGCGTGTTCTGACTTCACTCGCTCACTGCTCCCTCTTTGGCATATCCCTCGTTCTTTCAAGCGGCGCACAACATTGCCTGGTCCCCATAAGCTCACCAGCCTCCCCCACTGACGGACATTTAGATTGTTTTTTTTCCCTCTCAAAATGTGCTGCAATGATTTGCTGTGAAACGCGTCAAGAGTAAGATGTATGGATGGAGGGCGGATGGACGGCTGTGTGACAGCAAGTACAGAAACCGTGAGGGATACACTCCTCGAGAACTCACTGTGCAACCGTTGAAACTTTGCTGTCTGTTTGAAAGGACACTGTTGGGGCAGTAAAGAGCTGTGGTGGAGCCCCTCGGCACGGGGTCCCAGGAGCGCCGGCTCTGGGTGGGCGAGGGCTCTCTCTGGCCTGGTTTTGAGAGATACTGCTGGGGCGCCCTCCGCGGAGAGGTCCTGAGTCACACTCAGGCCCATGGTGAGGAGACAAGTCGTGGCCTCTCTACCTGCAAAAGCCCCAAGATGGGGACATGGTGACACTTCCAGATTGTGGGGTGTGGGTCCATCCACTCGCTTCCTGGACAGACGAGGCCCTTGAATGGGGAAAAGGCCTCACAGGGGAGGTGGCGGTGTGCAGGACCAGCTTGCCCGGAAGAAGCATGGAGAAGTGGCAGACGCTGCCTGACAAGGAAGAGACCCTCCCCGGGTGTAGACCAGCAGGTGCCCGGGGGTCACAGAGCCCGAGTGCATAGTGCGACAGATCGCGATGTCTGAGAGCAGGGCTTGCAGGGCGGCCCCTCCCAGAGGCTCCCGGCCCCCACATTGTGCCCCACCTGTTTCCTGATGGACTGTGAGGTCCCGAACGCTGGTGTCCACTCTAACAGGACCACGCAGGGACCCCTTGCTGCGAGCCAGGCACTGCTCATCCACGTAGGAGCTTGCTTCTGCTCCCAGCGGACCTGTGGGGTCCAGCGAGGGTGTCGCATCCCCGGGAGGCTGGCGAGACAAGCGGGTCCTGCCCACCACGCTCTCGCACCTCATGTCTGCCGAGCGCATCGCTGTGTGACTCCCTTGGTGTCTCCCAGCTCCTGGAAATGTGTACATTTGCGACAGCCTCCTGGTCTGGCTTGGGGCAGGCTGACTCTGCAAGGTGGGGGTGGGTCTTCAGGCTGAACGGTCCGGAGCAGGGCAAACAGAGAGAAGGCGGAAGATGGGGTGGTGCGGGGACTTGGGGTTCGCCTGGGGCAGGGTTTGCATCACCTGTTGTGACGTTAGTTTCAGCAAGAGAAGGGCCGGCGGAGCTGGGCACCCCGAGGATGGGCAGAAGGGCGGTTGGCGGAGGGCAGGAACCCCTGCAGGTGTGTGCGAGGCGGGGAGGTGGGGCCTCAAGAGACCCCAGCCAAGTGCATAAGGGGAGGCTGAGGCCGTGGGCAGAGGGCTGGGGCATGAGGCAAGTGATGAATAACTGAGAATGTCCCCAGAAGTTTCTCTTTCTGGCTGCCATTTTTGCCAGCATGCACTGGTCCAGCTTGACTGGCTGTCTTTTCTTCTGGATGTGCCCTTGACCCTGGCTAAGGTATTTGGCTGGAATTTTCAGCCCCTGCTCCTGCTCCTTCTGGCAGAGGGCTGCAGCCGACTGCCCAGACCAGGTTTAAAAGGCTTGTCTGAAGTCTTGGGTAAATGGATCTCTTAGAGAATTGATTTTCAGCACACTGGTCAGTCAAGGTCATTTTGTTAATTGGCTTTCAGAGAATTGATTTCCTATATCTTGGTCCAAATTATTTCCCAGGATGCCCCAAAGTGCTTGAGTGGGTCTGTGAGGATGCCAGAGAGAAGGGATGTCTGCAGAGGGTCCCATCAGTCATCCCAAGAAGTGCCCGCAGAGACCCCGTGGGGCCTCCTGGGCTCGGTCAGGGACGGAGCGATCCCTGAACCAGGGGACAAGGGTCATGGGCACGGCCGCCACCTGGCATGGAAGTGAGGCCAGGAAGGTGGTAGGGACCCAGCAGTTCACTGCCCAGCTCTTTCCCTGGGGCCCGTGGGCCTTGCTCAGTGTGCTTGCTTTCAGCTCAGTTTCTCTCGCCTGCCCCCCCCCCCAATTCCACCCTCTCTCCCGGCCCTCCCCCTGCACACCTGCTTGTAAGCAACCACCGCCATCCTTACCCCTTGTCCACCGAGTCTCTTCCCCCAGGATGTTTGCATGTGTGTCCCGCCTCCGATGTCTGCAAAAGGTTGCGCTGCTGGTCGAAGGCTCCGAAACAGACTCTGAGGGCCCTTCCTCCTTCAGCACAGCCCCACTGCCAAATGCCAAAGCTGGAGAGAAAAGAAGTCAGGCCCCAAGTGAGACAAGGTGTGGACTTGGGGCCGAGACGGCCTGGGAGCCCACGCCCCACACCCTCTGCCCAGCGCAGGGTGATGGTGGACGGCCCGGGCCTCAGCAGCACTGTCAGTGTCTCTGCAGACCGGAAGGGGGTCATCTCAGAGGGCCGTGAGCAGGGCTGGGGCCAAGGCCCACGGGCTCTGGGGGAAGCTCCATGGGTCTGCGTTCGGATCTCTGAGGCAACCCCGCTGCCGGACCCAGGCCCACAGACAAAGGCAAGGGGTGGGCTGGGCTCTTGCTGCGGCTCCAGCCTCGCACGAAGCTGCAGGAGACAGAGCAGAAACAAGCGCCAGGCCCAGGAGCAGGCCCGTGACGGTGCCCACATTGCTGTGGGTCAGCGCCGTGAACGAGCCCTGGGGCTGGACAGCGGGGCTGGCAGAGGCAGCTGCACAACTTCTGGACAGGGAGAGAGAGACAGAAAAAAGCAAAAGCAGAAACCCCAATAACAAAACAACAAACGACTCAAAATAGGTCTGCCAACTCTAATCTAAAAACACAAGAGGTATGTGGAGAAACAGTCATGGTTGCACAACTCTGAGAGTGTATTAAATTTCACTGTATGTTTTAAATGTAACTTTTTTTTGGTGAGGATGATTGGCCTTGAGCTAACATCTGTTGACAATCTTCCTCTATTTTGCATGTGGGATGCCGTCACAGCATGGCTTGATGAGCAGTGTGTAGGTCCATGCCCGGGATCCAAACCTGCAAATCCCGGGCTGCCGAAGCAGAGTGTGCCAACTTAACCACTATACCACCAGGCCAGCCCCTAAATGTACATGTTTAAGTGGTTAATTTTTTGTTATATGGATTTCACCTCAATTTAAAAAAAAAAAGAGAACACGAAAGAGCCAACAAAATCCATACTCAGGACATAAATTCATTCCCGATGGAGTTAAGTTTATGGATGTGTCTAATAAAAACTCTAAAATTATCTGTGATGCTCTCAAAGAAATAAATGAAGCAGTTACATCCATTCAAATAAATTATGAAATCAAATCGGCAGATACAGAACAAGAGCAGCTGGGTGTGAAAATGGCAGATCTTGGAAATGAAAATATAGTCACTAAGACAGAAAACTCAAAAACTAAGAAGAAGGGTTAAGATTGAGTACACACTGAAAAGAGGATTACTGAAGTGGAAGACAGAACTAAGAAATTTTCCCAGAATGCAGAACAGAGAGAAAAGAGATAAAGCTTTAAGTGTGTACACACATTGTACACACACACACACACACGGGAGCAGATGTGGAGATGTGGAGGAACCCCAAAATAAGAGACTGGAGAGAGGGGCAGAGAAGCAAGATGTGAAGGGATGATGGCATAGAAGCTTCCAGAATTTAGGCACACGACATTGGGGTTGAAAATGCAGTCCCAGCACAGAGCATAGAGGAATGCACACGAACTTGTCAAGATTCTCAGAGGCAGCTAGGAGAATCCTTTCTTGCTGGTTTGGCAGAAGGGGACCAGTTAAGGGGTGTAGACAGCACTCAGGATCACCAGAGGGCCCGAGAGACAGAATCAGCTGAGTCCTGGGCTCCCACCGTGGACTGGGCTGCTGAGAGTAGGGCCTGGGTTCTAGACACGGCTAGGGAACATCAAGGATGAAGAGGAACTCTTGGAAGCCGCCAGACAGAAGAGGCGAGTTATTCTCAGTGGACTGACAGACGGAAGCAGCGCCCAGCAGGAGCAGAGGCGGGAGAAGGCAGCCGCGATATTGGAAGGCGTCTGTCGCTCCCACAAGGAGCCTGGGAGGGGGGTGTGATGAGAAGTTTCCTGGCTTACAGGGGGTGACAGAGGCGAGACCTCAGAACCAATGATGGAGAAAAGTGAGCGACGATGTGGGGTAGAGAAATCAGGGTGAGGCGAGGCAGCCGATTAAACTTCTCAATGCCTAGAAAAGGGCTGGGCTGGGTGGTAAAATGAGGGGCCAGCCCAGTTGCGTAGTAGTTAGGTTCGCTCACTCTGCTTCAGTGGCCCAGAGTTTGCAGGTTCGGATCCCGGGTGTGGACCTACACACCGCCCGCCACGCCATGCTGTGGTGGTGTCCCACACACGAAATAGAGGAAGACTGCAGATCTTCCTCTCAGGGACAATCTTCCTCAAGCAAAAAGACGAAGATTGGCAATGGATGTTAGCTCAGGGCCAATCTTCCTCACCAAAAAACAAAAAAAGGTAAAATGAAATTTCTAGGCCACAACACGAAGATGTTGACAATGTAGGAGATGTGGAGCAGCTGTGCCCCCACCTGCCTCCCGCCCCACTCCTCAGGCCGTGGCCTCAGCCTCCCTCTGCTCTTGACTTGGCTCGCTCGAGGACGCAGATGCCCGTCAACACTTTGTCCCGTGTCCGCACTCTGGGGAAGGTACGGCAGAGCTGTGAAGACGTTCGACAGGAGGCTCCCTGAGCACTGCCTGCGGAGCCCGAGGCTTGGTCAGTCCAGGGTCACGCCTGCTGTGAGGAATGACCTCAAGGCTGGGACCCCGCGTGGACACTCAGGAGGCTGGCGGGTTGGCAGATCCTGTGGCTTCAGGGAGGTGTGACTGGGCTGGGACGGGAAGGCTGGGCGTGCCCGTGGGTGACACTGGCACTCGCCTATCCACCGGGCTGTGGGTCCCTGGCGTGCGGATGGTGGGTGGTGCCGACGTGCCAGTACGGGCCAGGACGGGTGTGTGGCTGCGTTCCCTGGGGGCAGGGTGAGGGGGCCCGGGAAGCAGAGTGATGTGTGGGATTCCTCCAGAAGCCCCACCTCTGCTCCCTCGGTGTGGAGCTGGCAGCCGGCCGGTCGGGGGTCTTGTCACGGGATCCTGCAGTGCCACAGCGGCCCAGGCCTGGGGCAGGGGCGCTCCCTCCGCAGGCCGGGGCCTGTCCGCGGTGCAGAGCGAGCACGGAGTGTCCTGAGCGGGGCCTCCCCAGCCCGAGGCTAGGCTTCTCCCCTCCATGGAGGCTGTGTCACCCTCCCCTAATCTGGGCTGGGACAGCGGCAGGCCTGACCCCAGAGACGTTCACCCACGTCTGAGGTCACGCTGCTGGCCCTGCATGTTCACGCGTGGGCTGTCCCCCACGGTCTGCCTCTGGCCCTCCTCCTCCGCTCAGGGCCCTGGGCTCTGCAGGTGATGGGCCGCCAGAGCTCAACAGACGGCTGGTGGCTGACCCGGGCCAGGAGCCATCTCCCCTGTCCTCCCTTGTGGCCGAGGGCGAGGGAGGGACCTGTGGGGCTCAGTAGAGGTGGAGAGTGACTCAAAACCCAAGGGGGGGGCCTTGGACTCAGCCAGGGCTCCGGGCCTGGGGGGCTAAACCTGTGACTGATGTCCCTCTGGCTGGAGAGAAAGGCCCTGACCACCGACCCCGGGTCAGTAGGATTTCTCGCTCGGGAAATGAGAGTGACATCAGAACTGGCGTGGGTCACAGCCCACGTGCTCGGCTCCGCCTGGCCGCAGGGGCATCACCAGGTGTGAGTGGTGACCGTGACGGCCTGGAGCAGTGGACAGGGGCTGTCTCCCCGCTCAAGGTCACTGGCCTGCCCTGTCCTGAGGACTCAACCCACACCCACAACCCATCACCCACCCCCGCCCAATCCAGGAGCCTCTCTGACCCCTCGCCAGGACACCATAGTCCCCTCCTGAAACCCCGGAGGGTTTGTTCTTCTTCTTGTGCACCTCCTCCCCCTGCCCACCTTCACTTGCTCCCTGTGGGCTCTCCCCGGACCACTGCGTGTGCCCCTGCCCATCTGTGCGGCGCCAGCCTCTCCTCTCCCCTCACCCGCTCGGCCCCTGCCCGCCCCCTGCAGCACCATCTCGGGAGAGTCGGCCGAGCGTGTTCAGGCCCCTTTCACCCTGACTCCTCGAGAGGCACGCGGTGGCCCCACAGGGGAAGGCTGTTGGTGCTGGAGCCCCCGGAGCGAGAGGGGGCCCTGGTTTAGTCCTTTCTGTGGCGCAGTCTTGGTCAAATGCTTGCAGCCCCAGAATCAAGTGTCCCAGCTGGGAAGTGGGGCCGGCAGCACCTGCCCACCCGCCTCGCAGGCTGTGCTGGGCCATGGAGCCGCACGCACAGATCCCCAGCCTGGAGCCTGCAGGCCACGAGAAGCTGCTCAGGGACTCCAGAGCCACTTGCGAAGGCGTCATGCTCCCACCTGGCCCCACTGCCCTCGGCAGCATCGCCCATTCCCGCCATCCAGACCCCCGCCCCCCAGTCTCCTAGCTGCCCATCCTCCGTGAAGCCCTGGGAGGCGAGAGCTGAGCCTCTCCCGTCGGTGCTGACACTGGGCTGTGTCCCAGCAGGCCCGTCCGCCAGTGCCCTCTGCCTTCTCTGGCCGCCCCCCCCCCCTCCCGCTGAGCCCAGGATGGGTCCTCCCTGCTGGTGGGCATTTTCCTGCCGGTTCTCTGGGGCGAGGCCTGCGGATGGCTTTCTCCTCCAGCTTCTTATCAGCTCATCGGTCCATTTAGGTGATGACACTTCCTGGTTGAAATGAAGCCAGATCCCCACATATTTGGCCAGAGGGTTGCAGAAGACTTCCTATTTGGGGAATAAAAGAGGAGGCGGCCTCTGGAGGCTTCAGGAAGTGGAAAGCCCTGGCTTCCGGTGCAGCCGCCAGGGGACAAACAGGGCACACGGCCCCAGACGCAGCTGAGGGTGCGTGTCAGAGCACAGCCTCCCGGGATGGAGGTGGTCAGCCAGGGCCCCCCAGGTGTAGACATCCTGGCCCCGCAGACCCTGTCAATAGGAAATGGGAGTGTCCGGGGCTGGTGCTTTTCTGGGGGACGGTGGGGAAGCCTGGCCGTGACAAAGGGACCCCGCCTCCCTGACCCGGACCACCCCAGATGTGTCCAGGGGTCCTGGCTCTGCAAGGCTGCTGGAGGCTCCTCTGCGGCCGGCCTTGGCCACAACCTCCTGTCTGACACCTCACTTCTCAGCCTCTCAGAGGCACCTGGGGTGCTGGGCCCTTGAACCCCCGGCCCCCCTCTGAAGCTGGCTCTTGGGGAAGACCCAACACCGGGGGTGCGTGTCCCGGGCTCCATCCGCTGCCTTACCGCATGGTTGGGCCGACGTCATGCTCTGACGGGATCCTGGAGGCAGAGCCAGGAAGAAGCCTCCAGTTGCATCCCCACCTCCAACACCCTCCCAGTCGCTGCTGCAAATTTCTGTAGCTGGGGCTTCTGCAGCATGACCCTGGGCCTTGGGCTGGTAGCACCCTCTCCTCCTTCTGTCTGCTAGCCTGGGGCAGAAGTGACCCATTGTCGGCAGAGCTGGGAGCCTGCCCAGGTCCCTGGGCACTCAGCATCCGGTACACGCTGTCTCTGGCTACAGGAGCCAGACATGTGGGCTGGTTAGTGCCCTGGGAGCTCCTTGGCAGTGACTGATGGCAGTTGGAGGGGAAGCAGCCCAGCTTCCCCTCCTCCAGGCCAGGCAGCCCTGAGGTATGTCTATAGTCACCTGAGGCCCCAGTGGGTGGGCCCTGTTCCCCAGGGGTGTACGGGCTCCTGCCCTCCCTGACTCCCCGCCTGGTGTGTCAGGGGTCCCGTCCCACATAAACTGTCCAGAATCTTGTCTCACCATCTGCTTCTGGGAGACCCACCTGAGCAAGCCTCCCGCTCATGCTTCAC